TAACCAGCTGAACTCTGCAAGTGGTACTATAACTCAAAGTGGTTCAGTGCTGGCCTTGAGCAGAAGTGCTCAGGGACAATGCCCAGGCCTTGAGTTCAATCCTCCTTGAATACCAACTGGGACAGGCCATCCCAGCAACGAGCACCTAGACTCAGCCAATCTGGGGAACAAGGGAACACGGACAGGAGTAAGAGGAGATGATGTCACATCAGCTACTTTGTGCCTGCCCTTTCAAAATTAACCAGAGCCGGGAGGTCAGTAGAAGTAAGAAGCCTGCCCATCCAATGTCTATACCTGTCTACCTATTAACTGAACAGGAATTTATATTCTTGCCTTTTGTCACCTGACTTCTCTACCTAGTCGCCAGATGTCAGAAGTGGCTAGGGACATTTCTAGCCCCAAGTCCTTCCTCTTGCCATTTATTTGCTCTCTAGTATTTTTTTTTTCCAGCCCCTCAATGCTCATGAGACTTCTCCAGACTTCATCTAACGACTCACGCTACCAAGAGACCGCTGCTGCTCACTGCCTTCTCTGGGAGGGGACCAAATTCCAGCCTTTTACCCCTATTGTCGATGCCCCTTTTCAGCAGGAAGTAGCCAGAGAGAATCCTTGCCCTATTTCATGATTATTAAAAGGCTGGAATGTAAGGTCCACTCCTGGATGGCTAGCAGACTCCACCCTCCTCACAGCAAAGTCTCCACCCAGTACCTGCGTTACCTAGGCAACTGGGACACCTGGAAGAGGTCACATCTGCATCCGCTGAGGTCACATCTGAATTTGATATGGCCACACTTTTCTCTGCCCATACCCTAGATAAGGCCTAGCCCAGGCCCAGACGCCCTCTCTCTGCTCTTTTCTAGCTCTTCTCTAGCTCTTCTCTAGCTATTTTCTCTCTTTTCTAGTTCTCTCTTAGCTCTTTTCCCCCAGCTCTCTCTCTTTCTCTCTCTTTCCCAGCTCTCTCTTTCCCAGGCCTTTCCCCAGCATGTAGAGGACCAAGATGGCCTCGTGCCAGCCTGAACGATGAATAAACCTACCCCTTACCTGAAAAAAAAATGAGTCAACAAACCTCTCAGTAAAAGAACAAATATAAACAGCTATCAAAAGTACATTGCTAGTGATATGGAAAAGGGATCTAATGTCCAGTTACGATATCTGGATATGTTTGACCAGACATCCCATCAATAAAAAGTATATATGTATATATGTATATTTGTAGATATATGAGTTTACATAAACATGTATTTTATTATGCATCAGAGCTACTTTATTAAAATATTAAAAATACCTTATAAAGCAAAGAAATTTATATGGATTATAAAGAAATAAAAATGAGAAAACAGCTTCAAAAAACAGTACAAATATTCAATACTCAGTATGGATCCCCTATGTTGTATAAATTTTCTAATCAGATAAATGTCACATAACATAAAATTCATTTAAAAGTTTACAATGCATTGGCATTTATTATATTCACAATGTCATATAAACATCACTACTATCTAATTGCAAAGTATTTCAATCATGCCCAAAAAAAATGCCACACCTAGTAACAGTGACTCCCTCTTTATTACTCAGCAATTATTAGTGTACCTCTATCTCTACACAGTTGCCTTTTTATTTTTCTGTACTAGTCTATGTAAATGAAATAACAAAATATTTGTCATTATTTTGTGTACCAGTTTGTGAAATAGCATTCTGAAAACATTCTAAATCAGTTTTTGTTTGATTTTTGGTCAGTCGTGGGGCTTGAATTCTAGTCCTGGCCACTGTCCTTGAGCTCTTCAGCTCAAGGCCAGTGCTCTACCACCACTTGAGCGACAGCATCACTTCTAGTTTTCTGGTGGTTTACTGGAGATAAGAATCTCACAGACTTAAAACGAAAAAAGCTGGAAGTGGCACTGTTGCTCAAGTGGTAGAGTGCTAGCCTTGAGCTGAAGAGCTGAGATACAGCGCCCAGGCCCAGAGTTCAGGCCCCACAACCGGACCCTACCCCCCCCCCCCCAAAAAAAAGAATCTCATAGACTTTCCTGCCTGGGCTGGCTTTGAACTGCAATCCTCAGGTCTCAGCCTCCTGAGTAGCTAGGATTACAAGAGTGAGCCACCAGTGCCGAGGCTAAATCAGTTTTTAACTCATAATTTTTATCATTTCTAAACATTATGTACAAAACCCTATGGACACAAATAAAAGTATATCTTTTCAGCTCTAATTATCAATATGTTATCAAAATTAGAATAGAGTGTCAGCCACTTTCAACAGACATTTTTTCTTGAGGGAGTGGTATTAGGTATTAAATCTATGGCCTCACATGTGTTCTACCAATGAGCTACATCCCAGCTTCTCTTAAGTATTCTTATGACTAAATTAGAACTTATATTTTTATACTAGTGTTTGAACTCAGGACACCTCATACTTGCTAGACAGGACCTCTACCACTCATCTACATCTCTAGCCCTGCTAATTCATTGGTTATTTCTGAAATATGATCTTAGTTCCTGCCCAGGCACATGCCTAACACACAATTTTAGGTTTCTCATTGTTACTGGGATGATAGATGCATGCTACTGTGCTCAACTTCTCTGGGTTGAGCTGGAATGTTCTGAACTTTTCTACCTGGGCTGGCCTAGAAACCATGATCTTCACAATCTCAGCTTCTCCCATAGCTTGGGATAACAGGTACATAATCACCCACGTACGAAGTGAAAAAGGGTCTTACAAACTTTTCTGCCTAGGCTAGCTTTGAATCACCATCTGCTCCATTCTTAACCACCTGAGTTGGCTGGGAATATTAACAATAGTTTTAACAATCAATTCCAAATTCCCCTTAATTCTCTGTACAGGTTGTAAATATATCTGAAATTTTCTTATTTCAGATTAAGTATAAATATATGTGTTTTTATGGTAAGACACTCATGTAATTTTCTTTCTTCCTTCCTTCCTTTCTAAAGAACAGAGCTTTATCTTTATAAATAACAGAGCTTTATTTAGCACACGGTTCTGGAAACTGAGAAGTCCAAGATCATAGCATCATCTTCTCAATACCTGGTGAAAATACTCTTTTTTTTTTTTTTTTTAAATTTTATTTTATTTTATTTGAGAACATACTGTACAGAGGGGTTACAATTACATGGTCAGGATAATGCATACATTTCTTACCAAGCATTGCAGCCTCCTCCTTTGTTTACCCTTCACCTCCCTTCCCAGCCTCCCCCCTCTCCCCCACCCAATCATACCCCCCTTCCCCCCCCTCCGACATTGTAAAGCTGGTTTTGACATGACATTTTGTACTTCTCATTGTTGCAACAGGTCCCTGGTGAAAATACTCTTAAAGCATTGTATAACCATGTAGTTTTCAATGACCAAGCAACATAGTAATGTTTAACAAACATTACTTTCAAATATCCTTTTCTTCATGAATTTATTTCCAAAAGTAATTGCTCTATCATGGTTATTTAAAATAATCTCATTTATCAGCAGACACATTTTGAGAAAAATAAAAAATATTATTCTTTAAAATCTATTAATCAGAAAAGATTAAGAAATTAAAAGCTAAAGACCCACATGAAACTGCACAGGTAATATGCCTCCAATGGCCAACCTGGGCTAGCCAAAGGCAGACCCCACGAACCCTCAGCTCTTAGCCAGCAGGAACAGCACCAAAAGACAAAGTCTAGACAGAACCCAAGTGTTTGGCTAGATGGACAAATGCATGGGCCAAGTGAAATGCAACACAGAACCAGTTTGACTGTCAGCAAGGTGCCAGGAAAGAGGAAGAGGCACAGCAAAATGAAGTAAGACTAAGTGTACAGTGACTACAGCCACAGCAGGGATCAGAATGGCCTGGAGAGGGTATGGAAGCTGGAAAGCGGGTATGTTGAAGGCCAGGACAGAGTCAAAACAGCCCAATCTTCCTGCCCCCAAAAGAAAGGCGTTCACTCCAGAATGGAGATCTTCAGAAACTGCTTTCTAGATGCTAAACTCCCTCAAATAAGGGGTCTGAGTAAGGAGTCTGATAAGGGATGGGAATGGGAAGTTGGTGTCTTTGTAGAGAACTGAGGCCCCCAGGAAGCCAAGGACTAGACAATCAAATGATCAGAGTATAAATCAGCCTTTCATCTTTTCTACCACTCTGCTTTGATATTTTATTTAATTTTCCTTTAATGTCTTAGTAAAATTTCTTTTGAAAATTTAAAAAGTAAATAAAAGGAAGAAATTAGCAGGTAAAATCTAAAAGAGATAGCTAACCATCTATTTGGACATAAGCAAAGCAATTTACATTGGAAATGAGGTCTCCTGAAAGCATAAGATCTGGCCAGCTATCCACATAATTTAAATGTAAAGAACAGAAAACTTATTTCACTTAAAAATTATGGTAGAATAACTGAACAATTCTAACTAGAAGTCTTAACTAAAAAGTTCATTAAAAAGTTAGAAAACACTTGTATTATATTATAAATATAGTTGTCCCATGGCAGTTGTAGAGGACTGATTTCAGAACCCCTTCCATAGATGCTCAGTCCATAAATAAAATAGCAGTTATTAACATATCCTATGTACTTTAAAACATCTCTAGATTGCTTATCATCTCTAATCAAATATGAATATTACATAATAGCTGCTTACTGTATTATGTAGGAATAATGCTAAGAAAATTAATATACAGGTTCAGTACAAGCACAATACTTTATATATACTTAATCTGCAGTTCCTTGAATCCACTGATTAAAAGAACTCAGGACACAAAGGAATACTATGCTAATTTGGTAAACAGAAATTATTAAGCCACTGGAATTAAAAGAATAAAACAGAGGCATAAAGTGTTCACTTTTAACTAGGCACTGTTTACCATTATCCAACAAGTGTTTGGAATAACACTTGCAGATGTATTGACTATATAATAGCAATGTATTTTAAAGATATTCAAAGAATTTGCAACTTTATAGGAGCTTTGAAAATCAGAATTTATTAGTCCATGAAAGTAATATAATAAAAAGTTTCCTACCTTCGTGATAAGAATTCGGTATCTATCCAGCATTGCCTGGTTGTCATGACAGCATGCTAGTAACTGCCATACTTCTGCCCTCAGCGCTTCGGGAACACCACTCTTCACCAAACTGGATAGCCCTTTCGGTCGGGAACCAAGGTTACTGTGCCTAAGGAAAGAAGAAAACAAACCATTCACATTTTCATTTGCCACTCCTGAACTGTTACTGCTATAGAAAGCATATTTATTCATTTATATAAAAGTATAAACCTGGATCAGGAGAAAAATGATGAGGGGCATGAAACAAAAATAGTGCTTTAATGTCAACAATGTCTTGACTTTTTTCTGTGTACCATCTTGTTTATTGGTGAGCTACATTATTCCATCTTTGAAAAAATATTTTTCATATTCTCATTTACTCTTTAAATTCATCCTATGAACTTATTCATTACCATGAATGTGTTATAAAATTCAAGCTGACATTTCAAGGCATAAATATAGCCACTTGAATCCCTGAATATGTAATGTAAGAATGTAGGGCAACCTGGCTAGTGAGGTGTCAGGAAATGGTTTTGGAAGCACATAACAGATCTATCAGACCTTGATAGCATCTGCTTCTCTAAGGTCAGAATGAGTTGGTGAAATAAGTGCAAAAAGCAAGCTCCGCAGTGTAGAAGGCATGGAGAATAGATACTTCTGTTTCCTGTCCAACCTATGTCCTGACTCAAAGCTCACTGAGAAGCCCTACAATTGACCACCTAATTTGGAATTCTTTGTTTCACCATAAACCTAAATATGAAGGACCTTCCTGATTTAATTTATCTAAGATGACTTTTTTCTTTGGTTGGTCGTGGGGCTTGAACTCTGGGCCTGGGATCCCTCAGCTCTTCAGCTCAAGATTAACACTCTACCACTTGAGCCACAGCACCACTTCCGGCTTTCTTGTGGTTTATTGGAATAAGAGTCTCCTGGACTTTCCTGCCCGGGCTGGCTTTGAACTTTGATCCTCAGATCTCAGCCTCCTAAGTAGCTAGGATTACAGGCGTGAGCCACCAGTACCCGGCCTAAGATGAATTTTTTTTTTTTTAATAAGAAGAGTTCATTATTATTTCCATTTTGGATTTGTCTTGCTAATTTATTTTGACTTCAGGCACTCCCTAAGAGAAAAACACAAATGTTCTGATCATTACCAGAACCTCTGTAACTATCTTGCTGGAGAAGCAACACATACTTACTAGCCTTATTCCTTCTCAAGGGTGTTTAGAATCAGAACAAGGGCAAATATATCCTGTCTTAAAGTCAATGATTACATTGTAAGAATGCCACTACGTTAACTTGCCATCTGATAAAAAAAAATTCAATTAGAGTTCCCAGGCTTATGAATGGAATTCTACTCACTTTTCCAAGTTGTCTAGCTTAAACCTAAAACAATGCTCTATGACTTTTTGTTCAGACAGTACTTTATTCTTTTGTTCACTTTTGATCTGAGAGCTGACCCTGGTGCGACTATCTGCACTTCAAACCTTGATGATACATCCTACTATGTTATAATACCTCAGGTTCTGAAATCAAATGTTAAGCCTGAATAAAAGTCATGGAATCCACAAAATTGAACTCTCACATAATTGTCTTAATTATACACACTCTTTCATCTCCAGTCTAGATCTGAACTGTGACAGTCCTTTCTGCAAAAAAAAAAAATTGTTCAATATTTTCTTTCCCCCATACTTCTATAAATAGGTATCTTTAAGAAAAACTATAATAACTTAAATTCAGGCAAACTCATCACATTACTATTTTAAATAACTTTAAGATTTATGTCCATTCTGCTTTCAGGTAGCTAAACTTAGATTTAGGTGTTAAGAGAACCTAAGCTGATAGTGTTGACATGCTTAAACCAAACTGAAGTAGGAAGATGTAGCCCTCACAGAACTTACCATGATTAAAGAATATAATTACATTCCTAAGTGACAAAAGTACATTTCAAAAATAATATGTGTATGTTATTTTAAATATACATATACACACTATTTTGAAACATGTTTTTAAACACGTACTAGGAAAAATACGGAAGAACATGCTCCAAAGTATCCCTTTTATTTTGATTTACTGCCTGAAATATTTGCAATGATTTTAAATTCTTTTATAGTCATAAAGTCAAAGTTTCAATTCTTTCAATTTCTCTTATAGATTTGAATTAAAATACAATTGTAGTTTGGAAAAATTAACTAAACAAAATAGATAAATATGTTACGCAAACTAAGGAAAAAAGTGGGGCAAGCACTGTGGTACATTCCTGTTAAGTCCAGCACTCAAGAGGCAAAGGTAGGAGGATCTCAAGTTGAGGCTAGCTCAGCCTTCAGAGCAAGTTCTACGTCACAAAGAACTATGTAGCAAACTTCTGTTTCAACAACCACTCAAAAAAAAAAAACAAGTAGAGAAAGAGTATTACTTATTCCTGAGAATTATAGCTGAATAAAGCATTAGATATTTGGAATTCCCTTAAGTTGCCTGTTCTCCACAACCCAATGAGTTTAATATTATTAAAAATAGTATATGTCACATGAGAGTATCTGTTATGAAATTTGTTATTGCTTAGTCTTTGTTGTAATTTAATGTTTGCTTCTGAGTAACCTTTTGGAAAGAAAAACATGGTTGAAAATACTTCAAACTGTACTTAGTACAGAATGTGAATTAAGTAAAAGCAACAGTATAAGTGTGCAAAGTATTCCCTTTGAAGTTAAAGACAAGATGTTCCAAATTATGACCCCCATTACTGTACAAATATTATACTGTAAAAATTTAAAGGAAACTCAAAGTAATTCATATTACATGTTGTACTGAGATCAGTAAGTCATTGCTGTGATTATAATAGGTAACTTCAGGTAAAAGAAAACTTTGTTAAGCAAAAAAACTTTATTAAGCTTCACATAAGAATTGATTATACTGTCTTTTACACTGCACATAAAATTTCTCAAAACTGTATACACATTATCTCTTTTCTTTCCCTCACTCACTTCTTAACCCAGTTCATCATGGCTTCTCCATTTCTTTTTGAAAAGTTCGCTTGAAGTAATCTGTGACTTCTCTTCATTCCACTGAGTTCAAGTGGCATTTTTCAATCCCCTTGAAGAACTGACTACTCTTTTACTTGAACTTTCACTATTTCCCTCTGCTCCAATGACAAAGCAGTCCTTCTTTATGCCTCTTCATAAACTCAGTCCTCAGTTCTCATGGTTTCTCAATTACCTCTTTCAGATCTTGCCTACAGTGATCTAATTCTTTTACTTTTGTTTGTAGGCACTATTACTTCTATCCCTTATAGTCTGAGCTCTAGAGGCTCAAAAGCACCAGAAAAATCATCATTTCCTAGTCTGGATTCATATGGTTCTCACTAAGTCTGAATTGTTTTCTATACTATTATCCCACCTTCAATAATTGTGGACACAATATACAAACTGAAAATCTAGGCGTTATTCTCCTCATTACTCTCTCCTCCGTATAGTCCATTACTAATCCATCACCAAGTCAAACAAGTCTCATTTTTCCAAACTCTCCAAAGTTGCACTCCTATCCCTCAACTGCAACTAACTGTATCTACCACAGACCTCTGTAATGAAATTCCAGCATCCATTTGTCCTATTACAATATATCTCCAACACAGCAGGCAGAATAATGTGAACAATCAGTTTGATTAAATAAATATTCAGCAGGCTCAACGTTTGTATAATCATCTCCCTAACATTTTGAAAGTGGAAGATATATATAGGCATACATATGCATATATCTCTTAAAATTAATACTCAACTGACACCAATAAACATTTTACCAAGATATAACTCAATTCAATCAATATTCAGCTTCTAGCCGATCCTCATTTATTTGTTTACCCAGGAATAATGAAAATACCTTTTCTTTGCTCTTGAAAACCTAGATGTAATTTATCTTTACAACCTGATGTTAAACAATACACATGGCTCACATGACACTATTGATTAAAAGTCTTAATTTACTGAAAAGCAATTCTGTATGTAATATCTTCTTAACAGGACTAAGCAAATTCCTATGACCAAAGAAAATAATTTGTTTAGTGAAATAATTGCCCCCAACATTTCCAATAAAAAATATATGTACATAGGGCCATTGCTTTAATAAAACATTAACTGCAGCTATCAGAAACCTGGAAATAGAAGACTTGCTATGGAATATAGTGATTTCTGCCCTAGAAACAAGATAGATACCTAATACTATCAATTAAAAGTCGCACATAAACCAAATATCTACTAATTATTTGGTAATCATCTAGTTTTTGTAATGCACGAACACAAATTCAGAATCTGTTTGTTCTTTACTTGTATATTCTAAGTACCTAAGACATACATCTGGCACATAGAAGGCATTCAATATATTTTTGATAAATGGATGAATGCATTTATAAAGTGAAACAAATATGACCAACTATTAAGATTAGACAGAAAAGAATGTTTTTTAAATAATCAAAAGCTGTTATTATTTATCTAGCTGATTTCCTATGTTTTAGAAGGGGATTTTCTTGAAGTTACAATAGGCACATAGAACTCTTTTGTGTTTTCAAATCTGTCTACTTGTGGAGAAAATTTCAAAGGAAGTAATATTTTAAACAAAAGCAGTAGAAATCAAGAGATGAGAAAATCATTGAATGTGACCACTGAGAGGTTGACAATGAAATAGGACAATTTTAATAAAGATACAGTGAAAGTAGGTGGCTAGAAGATATAGAACAACAGTCTGACCATTCAAAAGTTTTCTCTGAAAGCGAAAAAATTAGAACAGAAATTACAAAATGGAGTAGCATCAAGTAAAGCTGGAATTTTCCTTACCCAAAGTGAAACTGGTATGTAAAATTTATACACATAATTAAAAGCATAGTAAAGGAATTGCCTAGCATATGCAAGCCCTAGCATTATCACTCTTATGTTCAACAAAGTAATCTTGCTACCACTTTGTTCAATTTCTAAGTTCTTCATCACAAATTCTCCCTCTCTCCTGTTCTTCCTTTTTCATCATGCTTCTTCCATCTCACTCACTTTCTCTCAATTTCTTTGATAAGCTTTTACTCCTATTTCTTTTTTTATTGTGAAAATACCATACAGAGGGGTTACAATTACATCAGCAAGGTAATGAGTGTATTTCTTATCAAACATTGTTGCCTCCTCCTTTGTTTCCCCTTACTATCCCTTCCCATTTCCCCCCACCGCGCACACACATGCATACACAGACAAAATAAATAGAAAAAGGCTGAAGTGGTGTTGTGGCTCAAGGGGTAGAGCACTAGTCTTGAGCTGAAGAGCTGAGGGACAGTACTCATTCCCAGAGTTCAAGCCCCACGACTGACCAAAAAAAAAAAAAAAAGATGTTTGTATCTACTTGACTTCTCAGTGGACTTGCTAACTACGTTTCTTTGAGTGGCAAAATGAAATTTTAGCTGGCACAGATGGCTCGGACTTGTAATCCTAGCTACTCAGTAGTCTGAGATACCTGAGAATCATGATTCAAATCCAGTTAAGGAAGTAAAATTTGTGAGACTCTTACCTCCAATTAACTACCCAAAAGAGCAAGAAGTAGAGCTATGGTTTAAATGGTGGAGTACTAGCATTAAGCATGCCTGGTGCGTGCATGAACGCACACATGCACACACACACACACACAGAAATTTCATATTCCCTTATATTTGGAAGAGCTTTATCATCATTATAAATTTTCTTATCTCCAATTAAGCATAATTGGATGTAATCCCTAGGTATAAGAAGGCATACCTAAATAATTAGTTTGCTTTTGTTTTTTGCCTTTTAACAAAGAAGTTTATGTGTATAAGGCATCTTGGTCTATGTTATCAACTTCAAAATCTTCACCACCTTCCACCCATTCCTTCCCTTCTATTTCTCAATTCTGTGGTATACACAGGAATTCTTGACTGCACTCTCTCTACTTCCCTGCTTCATTCTTCTATCAGGGCAAAAAAGAAAAAATTAAATATATAACCTAAAATATAGAGAAGTAAGGGAAAGGCGGGTTGGGAGGAGTTGGTAAGAGTGTTGAAAGGGTGACAGTGATCAAGATGCACTGTATTTATAATCTGCTTTGGTGAATGGCAAGTCCTTTGTACAACTACTTAGATATTAAAAGTATTTTTTAAAGAAATTAGCTTATTTTTTAAACTAGGAGCAAAGGGGAAGAAAAGAAACTCTGAAAAGATATTCCATTCCTAAGAGACCAAGAGAGCCTGTATGCATAAGAAAACATAGAATACCTTCACTTGAAAAGTGGAATCCCAAAAGGTTAAGTGACTTGTCCAAACTAGCACTTGTAGCAAGTTAGTGCTACAACTGGCACTCAAACCCAGTTGTTCTGGTTTTTTTTTTTTTAAGAAAGTTTTCCTCCAGAAAATCATAACCCCTTACCATAGATGTCTTAACTGACTAAAGTACCCTAGTCACTGAAAGTTAATTATAGACAAGAAGTTCTCATCCAAAGAAAATTATGTTCCATAATTAATATAGAGAATATCTTTAAGTTTTGTGGGAGTTAAATTGGGATATAACATATTAATTGGAGGTACTGCTCTATTTTGCTATACTAAAAAATGTGTTAGATAAGTAGAAAGTAAGCACCCAATTTTCAATAGTAATAGATCCATCTAGAAGAAAACTCTTGTTCTCCAAAGTAATTGACATGGGAGAATTTATACCACTTTGTAACTAGAAATTATGGGGAAATAAATCCTGATATAAAGAAGAGTTGCTACAAGAAAAAATGGTCCGTATTTCTATGATGTTCTTCAGCTTCCCATAGCAAATAACCTAAGGAGAAGGAAAACATACAATAGAAGACAAACTATGCTATAAAAGTATATACTATCATAATGTCTACTTCCACATACTACATCTACATGGCTGGACCATAAAAATTTGTCATCAGTTCTCTCTCCTATGCAAAATTGAGAGCTACAAAAAAGAAGAAGGTAACATGAGTGCAAAACAATGACCATTTGAAAAGATAATCCAATGGAAAGGGGAAGGGCAAAAAATTGGTTTTAAAAGAAAGGAGAGAATGAGACAAAGAGCAGTGGAAGGCTGAGTTGATCAAATGAAACCCCTTTGTATAATTATTATACACTAGTAAAAGAAATAGTATGCCTTCAAAGTAAAGACACAAGAAATTAGGTAGACAAGTTGTTGGTTGTTTGAACTACTGATGTCCCTTAAAAGCAAATAAAATAAAATTTTCTTTGTTAAAAAGATTAAATCAAGCCAAATGAGGTAGCTCACACCTGTAACCTAGATAGCTGGGAGGCTGAGATCAGGAGAACTGTCTTTTATTAGGGTTTATGAATTATAAAAAACCAACTTAAAAAATTGTGTATGGTGGCATGTGTCTATCATTCCTGCTATGTGGAAATATAAACAGAAGAATTATGATTCCAGGCTAGCTTAAGAAAAAAATGACATGACATGACATAAAAAAATCCACTTAGGGCTATCATGCATGAAGCCCAAATTCAATTCCTCAGTACCACATAAATAGAAAAAGTTGGAAGTGGTGCTGTGGCTCAAGTGGTATAGTACTAACCTTGAGCAAAAGAAACTCAGAGACAGTGCCCAGGTCCTGAGTTCAAGCCCCAGGACTGGCAAAAAAATTATCAATTTATAAAAAATTGGGTATGGTGCCTATCATTCCTACTATGTGGAAGCTTAAACAGGAGAATTATGGTTCCAGGATAAGAAAAAAGTGAGACTATATTTAGAAAAATAATAAAAGCAAGAAGAACTGGAGACATGGTTTAAGTGGGTAGAGCACCTGCCTAACAAAAGCAAAGCCCTATGTTCAAATCCTACTTCTGCACCTCCAGCCAGAAAAAAAGGAAAAGATACAGTTAGCACTGAGCAGGAGGATATATAGCTATAATTTCAGCTACTTGGGAGGCAGAGATAAGAGGACTATGATTCAAGGCCAGAAGGACAAAAACTCAAAAAAACATTGTCTCAAGCTGGATATGGTGGTACACACCTATAATGTCGGCTACTTGGGAAGCAGAGGTGAGAGTATCTTACTAGACTGGGCAAAAATGTGAGATTATGTATCAAACAATATTAAAAGAAAAAGAGTTGGAGGTGTAGTTCCAGTGGTAGAGTTTCTGTGTAGCAAGCAAGAGGAACTGAGTCCATGCTCCAGTACTGTTTAAAAAAAAAAAAAAAAAAAAAACTCAGAAAGTGAAGGTGTGGCTATAGTAGTAAAGTACTAGCTATGAACAATAAAAGCTCAAGGACAGCATCCAAGCCCTGAGTAGAGCCCCAGGCCTGGCACAAATACATTAATAAATGTAGCTGACCCCTTCTTCCTCTCAGGATGAATCCCTAAAAAGCAATAAACTCAACGTTTAGCTCTAATAAACCTAGACTCCAAGTTTTACAATGAGAAAGCACCAGCTTTCTAATCCTTGAAAATGTAACTATATAAGTACTAAATTATAATTCAGGAATCTCTTAGGATGTATACAAAATACTAACATAATGAAAGTCATTTATCTCTCAAGATGATAAAGGAAGTTTTAATTATTCTTTCTTCCTCTTTACTCAACAAAACATGTAAAATTCTGCCTGTAGTCTCTCTTGGACTACCTGGATGCATGAGATTGGATATGCACACATAATAATCAACTGTGTCTTCTATACCTATACTTGTAATTGATGGGCTTTTTGTTGGCAAGGCTTTATTTTACCAACACATGACATCAGGATTATCTCTTTAAAAACTTATAAATACAAGCAGAGAGCTTGCCAGAGTAAGTATAATCAGAGTACCTTTTAAAAAAAAATTCCAGATAAGATGTCCCAAAAAATAGTCAGGCGCCAGTGGTTCATGCCTATAATCCTAGCTATTCAGGAGGCTGAGATCTGGGGATCACAGTTCAAAGCCAGCCCGAGCAGGAAAAGTCTGTGAGACCCTTATCTCCAAAAAACCACTCAGAAAACGGGAAGTGGCACTGTGGCTCAAGTGGTAGAGCACTAGCCTTGAGCTAAAGAGCTGAGGGAGAGCACCCAGACACAGAGTTCAAGCCCCATGACCAACAACAACAAAAACAAAAAAAAGATATCCCAAAATGTAAAGTAATAATTTTAGGCAAAGAACATACTGAGTTACAGTGTACAATTAGTGGCAAAGTAAGTAATTCAAAGAGTAATTTTCAATTCTACAGCACCTTGTAGTGATAATAGATTTGGTAAGGAAAGAAATATATTCCCTTTAGAAATAGGTATTTAAATATGTTGACAATGCAGCTCAAAACTGGCAAATGTAATAATAAGGATATATATCTTCTAAAAGTAAGTTAAATAAGACTATAATAGACAAATATGAACTTCAGTATAAATTATATTTAAATTTTTATGTTTTTAAATTATATTAAGATAAATATTAATTTTAAAGTAAAACTTGTATTTTACTTAAAACACATAGAATTTAATTAAAATAATAAGCTAGTTATAAATATATAAATATAAAATTCTAACAAGAAAATAATATTTTACCATCGTCCTAGCAATTCTCCCCAAGAATATAAGATCTTCTCAGGACAATCCTTAGAAACATCACCTGTTCCACTTGAGAGTTCATTATCACTTTCTGTAGAAGAAACACAATACAAACACTGTATATTACATTACATATTACAGTAGGTAATTTAAAATATCAATATTTTTAAATCAAGCAATATTTTATATTACTGTGTCCACTGAAATAACTGAACTTTTCTTTAATATAATTTATTTTTAATAACTAAATACTTTTAAAGAAATTTTAAAAAATTCACATCCACAGATTACATTTCATTAAATGGTAATGTTTATAATAAACAACTTTATCCAAAGAAAACAATATTAAAAGCCAGTGGATGGGGCTGGGAAGGTGACTCAGTGGTAGAGCGCTTGCCTTGCATGCATGAGGCCCTGGGTTTGATTCCTCAGCACCACATAAGCAGAAAAAAAAAAGCTGGAAGTGATGCTATGTCTCAAGTGGTAGAGTGCTAGCCTTGAGCTAAAGAGCTGAGGGACAGTGCCCAGGCCCAGAGTTCAGGCCCATGACAGGACCAAAAAATAAATAAAAATAAAAATAAAAGCCAGTGGTGTTAACCATTGGGCAAAGTAAGAAGTCATAGACCCCATTCCTCATTTCAACTGTGTTATCCTTTCCCCCTTCTACATGTGGACATATCACCAGATACAGACAATTCCCTTGGACAAGAAATCAAAATAAATCATCCAGCTTCCCTAGCATTCCAAGATGTTGCTTGGAAAAGCCATTCAGTTTCAGTTCACTAGAGGAAAGGGCATGGCTTGACCTCATGAGAGTTTCATATAAACAAGGAAATCTTGGTGGTACCTGCCAGCTGTAGCACCAGATCAGAGAAAAAAGCCAAGCTTTCACCATATCAGAAAGGTTAAGTTGGTTATCTTTAGAACCATGGTGAGAACAATCTAACTTGAGCACTTAAGATTACTAGAATCTACAACCAGCCTCAGAATCACCCAACAATTCTGGGAGGTCCTGGTATGCAAGGTCCTAAAAATCCAAGGAGATACCCATCTCTGTTCATTTTGTTGTTACTGGTGGTGGTGTTGTTTTAAAGAGGGTTATAGGGACTGGAACTGCTTTGATCTAGCAGGTCAATATCCCCTCAACTCTGACAAAAGCTCATCCCATGGGTCTATCTACCCACACAAGACAGCAACATACACAATCTAAAAATATAAAAAGTAAATACCTAATAGCTGTCCAGATCAGTGACTATAGCTATAACCTAAGCTGTAGCAGCACTGCCTAATGGTAGATTCTACACAAAAGAATTGTCTGGCTAGGGAATACATTTTATAACCAAGCTGTTAAGAAGCAATCACACTGCCCAGCCAAAGTAGGTCTACCTGATAATTAAAGCCCAGCCAGTGGTCTCATCAGTTAAGTGGAGCCCAACTAGTACTGCCATCTGATACCTGAGCAAAGGCTTCAGGCCAGTAAGCCAGAGAATTCATATCAAGTACTACAGTATTGCCAGTGACACATCCAAAATCACAAGACAGGCTAAACAGTAAAACTTTATCCTTGCAAAAGAACCTATGTAAAGATCTGAAGAGAGATTATCCCATCAAATGCAAAGGAAACACAAGGACATGAGGATTATGACGAATAAAAGAATTGTGACACCTCCAAAATAAATAATACATCTTCAATAACAGATATGAAGACCTATGAAATGGATTAACAAAGAATTCAAAATGATACTCATAAGGAACCTCACTGAACTATAAGGAAATATGGATAGAAAACAATGAAATGGAAATGTATGAAAAGTGAAGAATAATGACCAAAAAACAGGTGCAACTGAAAAGAATGAGACACCGTAAGAGATAAAACCTTCACATAAAAAAGTTGCAGAAAGAAAAGCACTAGAAAGCATATTTAAAGAAACAATGGCTAGGCAAGACATAGTGACACATGCATGTATTTAGAAGGTAGAGATTTGATATTTTAAATCACCTAATCAGAGAAGTAAAAAGACAAAATGAAAAAGAGTGACAAAAACCTGTAGATGGTATCAGGAACAGTTGAAATCTTCACATAATGGAATTGAAGAAGAAAGAACACCATAAACCATGTGTAAAGAAATAAGGGTGGGAGAGGAAGTATTCACACATGTCCAGCTTCTCAGAAGGTAGAAAAAGTAGAATTACCATTCTACTTGGTGGTAGAAGTAGGATTACAGGGACAAATACAGCTAGAATACTCAATGTGCATATGTGACAAAGAAAGTGGGAAATGTGAAGTAAGTCTAGGGGAAAGAAACATGATGATGGGAGAATGATGAAATGGGTAATTCTGATCAAGAAGCACTAAACACTTAGATGTTTAATCTTTTAAGGAACCTCCATACTGCTTTCCAGAGTGGTTGTACCAGTTTACATTCACACCAACAGTATAAGAGTGTTCCTTTTTGGCCACATCCCCGTTAGCATTTGTTATTGTAGTTTTCCTGATAATGGCCATTCTACCTGGAATGAGGTGGTATCTCAATGTTGTTTTGATTTGTATTTCTTTTATGGCCAGAGATGTTGAACACTTCCTCATATGTCTATTTGCCATTTTTACTTCTTCCTCTGAGAAGTCTCTCTTTAAGTCTTTAGATCCGTTATTGACTAGGTTATTGAGTTTTTGAAGGTTGCCCACTCCCTCCACTCCTCTTCAACATAGTGCTGGAATTCCTAGCAAGAGGAAGAAGGCAAGGGAAAAACATAAAGGGAATCTAAATATGGAAAGAAGTAAAGCTATTCCTCTTTGCAGGCAATATGATCCTGTATTTAAGAAACCCTATGGAGTCCTCACCCAAGCTACTTGAGTTAATCCAAAACTTTGGCAAAGTAGCAGGGTGTAAAAACTTACCCAAAAAATCAGTAGCTTTCCTGTATAACAAGAAGAGTGAGTCTGAAATCAGGAAAGCAACTCCATTTGTAATTGTCTCAAAAAAAAATTTTAAGACCTAGGAATTAACCAAAGATCTGAAAGACCTCTACTTTGAAAACTTTAAAATTCTGGAAAAAGAAATTAAAGCAGACTTAAGGAAACTGAAAAACCTCTTGGATAGAAAGAATTAACATTATAAAAATTGCAATTCTACCCAAAGCAAAATACAAATTCAATGTAATACCCATCAAAATTCCAACAACTTTCTTCAAGGTAAAAGAGAAATCAATCCAAAAATTCATATGGAATAATAAAAGGCCCAGAATAGTAAAAACAATCTTTAGCAGGGAAAACAATGCTGGAAGAATATCAATACCAAACATCAAACCATAGTAATAAAAAGAGGTTGGTACTGGCACAAAGATAGACCTGAGGACCAAAGGAACAGAAGACCCAGAAATAAGCCCCCAAACGTAACAGCCATCTAATATTCAATAAAGGGGCCAAAAACACAGGTTAGAAGAAAAGCAGCCTCTTCAACAAAATGGTGTTGGCAAAATTACATTCAGAAAACTGAAGGTAGATACTCATTTATCACCCTATACCAGAATCAATTCTAAATGGATCTAAGACATGAATGTAAGCCCAGATAGGGGGAAACTCTAGGCCTTCTAGGCACAGGTTGAAACCTCCCAAGAAAAGATCCAGAATCACAACAAATCAAAGAAAGACTGGATAAATGGGATTGCACCAAACTGAAGAGCTTCTGCATGGCAAAGGACATAGCTGGCAAAATAAATTGTAAGCCTATAGAAGCCTACAGAACAGCAGAAGATTTTCACTAGCTATGCATCAGACAAGGCATCTACAAAATTTTTATGAAAACATTCTGATCACATTCTCTATGTAGGCATTTGATAGCTGCAGCATTAATGCTTTATATGTCTTTTCCCCTCTCCTGGAATCCAAGCTCTCTGAATGCTGAAGCTGAGTCTTATTAATCTATATAGAAGGCTTTTAACATAACAATATTCAAGTGGGGAAGTAAACTAGAAGGATTTCTTTTGATTTCATTCAAAAGTAAAGTGGAAGGATTTCAATATTATTGTTTTAAGTTTTAGATTATGTTCATAAGCTTAGTAAAAGGAAAAAAATTAGAGAGAGAAAGATGAAGACTCATAGGGATGGTGACTGAACAGAAGAACATTTCCTCTTTTAACTATACCAGCAGCAAAGGGAAAGTTTGAAGATGATTTTCTTAAAAAAAGGTTAAAAAGACTTCCATATTAATAGTCTCAAGTTCTTATATCCAAGTTTAGAGTTAAAAGAGCTCCCTGAAAGACTATCTTAATTTACATCATAGGATTGAGGGGACAATGATAACTTCATTCTCTTTTCATGAGCATTGTTCCTCATCTACTGTAGTTCCTCTACAGTATATCAGTCCATTTCAAAAAGGAGAATTAACCAGAATGCTCCAGAGAGCATCAATCCATTCAGCAGGTCTCCTACTTTCTTCCATTTAAACATCTGTTAAATGCAAGCAACCTAACTCCCATGACAATGTATAAATTAACTGAAAGTATATATAAAGCACTAAACAGTGCCTAAGGCACACAGGGGTATTCAATCAGTAGCTGCTGTTATTTTTACTCCTGTTATTTTTATTATTCAAGTCTTCATTTTCTGGCTTCATTTTCAAAGTCACTAGAAAACTATTTCAAGTTTTTTTTTATTCCAGGTTAATGTTGTTTCTTATTATCCACTGATTTTGAATATTTAAGAGCAACATCTAATTGTATAAATATACAATTGTATAAGTATAAGAGTATATTTTTACATCAAACAAAATAAACATTCATGCTATTTCAATTAAACTAATTTAAGGTTCCTGTCTTAAACTTTTGCCACTCCTTGCTCTAAAACCCTATTAGCAAGGTTTTTTTCATCGTACTAATAAAAGAAAAACTTCAGAAGTAGAATGAATCAAAATTATAAAATATACATATATACACACATACAAAGATAAACATATATGTACAATTGTTTTTAAAATAAGGTTAAACATAAACATAGGATCAAATAAATATAAAATGTCTTTGTTTTCTTTTTCTTGAGAACCCCTGAGAAAGGGTTTTGCTAAGAAGCATGACCTGGCCTTTAGTTCTCCT